GTGAGAGTAGTTTCCAAACTCTTAAGGAAAGATTGATTAGTGTTAATACTACTATATTTAGTAAGTCTTTTGTGGTATATAGTTGTGCTTCTAAGATGGGTTTGGGTGGATTGTTGATGCAAGAAGGAAAGGTAGTAGTTTATGTTTCTAGGCAATGGAAAATTCATGAGAGGAATTACCTTACCAGAAGCCCATCATACTTTTCAGTTGGGCTTTGACTCAAGCCCAAGTAGATTACGAGTAGTGTAGGTTTGGGCCCTTGGGCTTGTATTGCATTTTGGGCCTTGTATTTCGACCACCTAGAGTAGTATTTTCATTTATGGCAATGTGAATTTAGGGTTAATTTAGGTTAGCATGTGCATGTTCATTTGCATGTAATTAGTATGGCATTTAGTAAGAATTTCGGCCATGTGCACACATGCACATGGTGTGACCGAAATGCTACTCAAATGGATACCAAATTACATCCAAATGAGTGCACATGGGGGAGGTGACCGGTTGGCACCAAAATTTGAATATTTGAATTCAAATTTTGGCGCCTAAGGTTAAGTAAACGATACCATGGTTTAACTTAACCTTAGGTTAAACCAACGTGCACCTTTACCCTAGTTTTCCCTATAAATTCACCATTTGCCGAGAGTTGTGGCACTTTGGATCATTTTATGAGAATTCACTTTTTAGTGTTCAAATTCTCCCATTCCGAAGTCACTCCCTAGAATCCTTCTTCTACCTTACTTGAGATCCTCTCTTTGTAGAATTAGGATTCATCACCTTCTATCCGAGATAGTTTAGGTGACCTTGGCTAGGTCACCTAAACTATCTCGGATAGAAGGTGATGAATCCTAATTCTACAAAGAGAGGATCTCAAGTAAGGTAGAAGAAGGATTCTAGGGAGTGACTTCGGAATGGGAGAATTTGAACACTAAAAAGTGAATTCTCATAAAATGATCCAAAGTGCCACAACTCTCGGCAAATGGTGAATTTATAGGGAAAACTAGGGTAAAGGTGCACGTTGGTTTAACCTAAGGTTAAGTTAAACCATGGTATCGTTTACTTAACCTTAGGCGCCAAAATTTGAATTCAAATATTCAAATTTTGGTGCCAACCGGTCACCTCCCCCATGTGCACTCATTTGGATGTAATTTGGTATCCATTTGAGTAGCATTTCGGTCACACCATGTGCATGTGTGCACATGGCCGAAATTCTTACTAAATGCCATACTAATTACATGCAAATGAACATGCACATGCTAACCTAAATTAACCCTAAATTCACATTGCCATAAATGAAAATACTACTCTAGGTGGTCGAAATACAAGGCCCAAAATGCAATACAAGCCCAAGGGCCCAAACCTACACTACTCGTAATCTACTTGGGCTTGAGTCAAAGCCCAACTGAAAAGTATGATGGGCTTCTCTTGAGCATGGGCCCATTCTTCATGTATCTTCTTGGCCATAGCCCTAGTAGTTGGGCCCTTGGCCCATAGGCCTCCTCGATCATCCCCTCCCTATAGAAGAGGATTTGTCCTCAAATCCAAAGCATCCTCCTCTAGGTCAGCAAGTCCTGTAAAAAGAGATAAATCAGATATGTTGAAACTAGGACTAACGCCATACTCAGAGGGAAGATCTAGGACATAAGCATTATTATTTATTCTATTAAGGATTAGCCTTATCAAGGTTACTATATTTCTGAGGGGTTCCTTTTTAAAGAAAATAAACTTTGTATTCCCCAAAGATCTATTAGGAAACTTTTGGTAAAGGAGAGCTATGAGGGTGGGCTCATAGGGCATTTTGGGGTTGAGAAGACTCTTTTCCTCTTAAAAGAGAAATTCTTTTGGCCTCATATGAAACGAGATGTTCAAAGATTTTGTAGTAGTTGTATAGCTTGTCTTCAAGCTAAATCTACCACAAAACCTCATGGACTATACACCCCATTGCCCATATTCAAGGCTCCTTGGGTAGATATTTCCATGGATTTTATCATTAGTTTGCCTAGAACCCAAAGAGGCAAGGATTCCATCTTTGTGGTAGTGGACCGTTTTAGTAAAATGACACATTTTATTCCATGCCACAAAGTGGATGATGCAAGCCACATTGCTAAATTATTCTTTTAAGAAATAGTGAGACTTCATGGGTTACCTAAGACTATAGTCTCCGATAGAGATGTTAAGTTCCTTAGCCACTTTTGGAAAACTTTATGGGCAAGGCTAGGGACTAAACTTCTATTTTCTACTACATGTCACCCACAAACTGATGGGCAAACTGAGGTAGTCAATAGGTCTCTTGGGACTATGTTGAGGGCAATCCTCAAAGGCAATAAAAAGTCATGGGATGACTGTCTCCCTCATGTAGAGTTTGCCTACAATAGAGTGGTCCATAAATTCACCAACATGTCTCCTTTTGAGATTGTTTATGGTTTCAATCCTCTCACTCCTTTAGATTTATTACCCCTTCCCGATGTTGCTTCTTTTATCCATAAAGAAGGAACATCTAGGGCTGAATTTGTCAAGAACTTGCATGAGAGGGTTAGGAATCATATTCAATCCCAAACTGAAAAATACACAAAATATAATAACAAGGGTAGAAAGGAGGTTATTTTCAATGAAGGTGATTGGGTTTGGCTTCACCTTAGGAAGGATAAATTTCCCTCCAAAAGAAAGTCCAAGCTTAATCCAAGAGGAGATGGACCCTTTCAAATCCTTAAGAAAATAAATAATAATGCCTATGTCCTAGATCTCCCCTCTGAGTATGGGGTTAGTCCTAGCTTCAATGTTTCTGATTTATCTCTTTTTACAGGACTTACTGCACAAGAGGAGGATGCTTTGGATTTGAGGACAAATCTTCTTCAAGAGGGAGGGGATGATGGAGGAGGTCCATGGACCAAGGGCCCAACTACTAGGGCTATGGCCAAGAGGATTCAAGAAGAGTGGGTCCATGCCCCAAAAAAAGCCCATCATACTTTTCAGTTGGGCTTTGACTCAAGCCCAAGTAGACTAGGAGTAGTGTAGGTTTGGGCCTTAGGGCTTGTATTGCATTTTTAGGCCTTGTATTTTTGGCCACCTAGACTAGGATTTACATTTCATGCCAATGTGAATTTAGGGTTAATTTAGGTTAACATGTGCATATGCATTTGCATGTAATTAGTATGACATTTGGTATGCATTTCGGCCATGTGCACACATGTACATGGTGTGACCGAAATGCAACTCAAATAGATACCAAATTACATCCAAATGAGTGCACATGGGGGAGGTGACCGGTTGGCACCAAAATTTGAATATTTGAATTCAAATTTTGGCGCCTAAGGTTAAGTAAACCATACCATGGTTTTACTTAACCTTAGGTTAACCCAACGTGCACCCTTAACCTAATTTTGCCTATAAATTCATGCTTGGCCGAGTTTTGTACCATTTTTGAAATTAATTGAATGAGAATTCTACTCTTGAAATCTTTCCTCTGAAAGTCTCCCTTAGCCTATTCTTTACCCTACTTGAGATCCTTTCCTTGTAGAGTTAGGCATCATCACTTTCTATCCGAGATAGTTAGGTTATACTTGGCTACACTTGTTTCTTCTTGGAGCTTCAAATCCTTGCCATCCTTCCAAGGATCCGAGAAAAGGTTGGAGAGCATTCCTTGAAGTTTTCTTCAAGAAGAACCTCATAACAATATATTTTAAAGTAATCATATCATGCAAGAAGAACCTCATAACAATATATTTTAAAGTAATCATATCATGTGCGTATATCCGCATCTCATACCTATGCATTGTAGCTTAATAGTAAGTTTAGAACATTTTGTCTTACTTAGGAGTTAAAGGGGATATAGTTCATGAGTCATGAACGACGATCAATCGTATTTTGGCTTTGCCTTTGAAAACTAGAGAAAAATATATTATGAATGTTGATTGAACCGTTACTTTGAAAAAAATCATTGCAAGATCTATCCAGGCTCACCTTATTCATTTGGGTTTAGGGTGTATCTGTTTATCTCTCCCTTGTGGCTTATATATTTGCTAGTACTCCAACATTATGGTGGCATTGTTGATCATATTTAGCTTATAAATGTGGTCCTTATGCCTTGGGTTTACTGGTACAACGATTGCTTTGTCTATTTACTTTAGTTTGAGGATATTTTCAAGCTTTTGCAGGTAGCTTCTACACAAAAGATTTCCTATGGCGCCAATGGCCAATCTACAATCATCAATTTCCCCCCTTGTTTTCATAGCCTGTGACAAAGGTTGATCAACACTTACAACACTCATGAACACCGCAAAAACACTAAATTCTTAAAACTCTAAAATTGACTCTAAAAACAAATAAATAGAAAGAAAATTATGCAATGAATTGCTATTCACACTAATTTGCCCTTGTTTTCATGAACAGTGAATTGCTATACTCTTGGAATTCATCTTTAACTCTTAAGAAAACATATACTTCACCTTTGGAAGAATGAAATGACAATTTTCAAAGGTAATAAAAATGTAAAGTAAATTTATATCACACCACCACTACAAAAGGAGCTAGTTAAGAATTGAAGAATCCAACCCATCCAATCCAGTCTCCAAGCATTAAGAGTCATTTAGGGATTTATCACTCCTTATAAATCACGAGAGTACTACTCAAGTTAGAAGGACGATACACACTTAAGGTGAGTTTCTCAATTTGCACAATACTTGTATCCAACTTTGTGATGAGCTTCCAATCCACTGTGCTTGTTATACAACTAAGAAACTGCATTAGAAGCAATAAGATTGCTGGAGAAGATCAAGGAAATATTAGTGGGGGGTGTATCAAATTCAGATGACGCAGTGATGCTCATGGCTGTAGTGGGTTTGGAGAATCCCAAGGGACTGAATTCAGTGCAGTCAAATCTGCATACATTTAGACAATTTAAATTTTAAATGTTTGTTCTGATAACAGAGAGTAGATTTCTTTTGGATTGAAAGACTCAAGGGTGACGTAAGAGTATTCACGATGAACTTGAATTAGAATCCACAAAAGCATGCTAAATGGTCTTTATTTAAAAGCCCTCAAACGCTAAAACAGCTTATTCATGTCAACCTCATTCTCGAGTTTAAACTTGCATCAACACTATCGATATTTTACAATGAAAGGAAAATTTGATGAATGCCTCAAAAAGAAAGATATTTTGATAGTATCCCCAAATACAGATATACAGTACACCACATTCAGATGATAAACAATTGTACATTTTAATAACTAATTTGTTTGGTCATTTCTCTTGCATTTGTATCCTATTTTTTTCCATGAATAAATTACATGCTCCTGGAGCAGTCTGCAGAAATAGGCCAGCAATTCCTTGGATACTGAGCGTGAAGAGTTCAGAAGGAGAATCACATCTTCGAGTTACAAGCATCTGGAACATTCTGCAAACATGCAATAGCAATTCCTTGGTTGGCGATTGTATAGTCCAGTAGAACCAGAACATCTTCCTCACCATGCTTCTCCTTTATGAAAATGAGTTGGTCCTTGAATCCTTGAGGCTCTATAATATAATCCAGTATAAATATTTTAGAAATAAGTTTTATTATAAGACAAAAATAAAAATAAAATACTATTTAAAAAATCATCACAAGAATGCATATAACAAACCAGCCGTTTGAAGGATCTGTTGTATGATGTTTTCTTTGAATTCTCGGGATCTGGTTTGGCACGATCCAGAGCCTACAGAACAAGTGTAGGTTTTAAACTTTTATTGCAAGTTATGTTGTTAAACAGTTAAAGTCAGAAAATCATTTAAGGGGAAATAACCGCCAACACATTTATGTCAAACAAAAAAGCAATTAATCAGAAACGTAGACACTGATTACAAATGCACCGGAACAAGTTAACTTCTACAGTCTCCTATATAAAATCTTAAATGTATAAAATATAACTCCGGAATTTTAGTTGGGCCCTAGGCTGCCAACTAAATCTACCAAACTAGGTGCAATCCTTTGCAATAATCAAGAGCCAATGTTATGATGATATATGAAAGAATGGGGAACTTTACCTAATCATAATTTTTTTTCTTTTCAATAAAGCATATACAAAGGATTATGTGATATCCAATATAACATTCAGCAAAATAATGTAATATCCAATATCCACTATATTACATTTTATAAGCAAACACATTCAACTGCTATATCAAAGATTACTTGAACAAGTAAATAAATGCAAGATTACCTGAATCAAGGACTCCACACGACGCCGCATCCGTGTATGCATAAATCCTTCCGAGCACTGTTACAATTACAAATATGAATAATATAGATCGGTATCAAACGTCATTTATGCAGGTTCATCGTAAAAATAAACATTATTGGACAGACAAGTATATGACAGTTCTAGCACAAGCATCCTCTAACCCTGCTCCATAATTTCATCCCCCACTTGCACATTCTTGAAAGTGTTGAAACTTGTATTAACAAACTTCACATCATATACTCTCTCCCAACACTTTTTGTCAGTGCCCCTCTTGTTCTTTTAATAAAAATGATATGTAAAATAAGTTAAATTATCTGCAAAATTATTTATAAATCTTGTGTAAAACAAGAAAATATTTTTTGGTTTTATGTAAGATTGAATACCCTTTATATCTAAATATTTCAGAGTAAAATATAGTATCTTTTACTTATCATTCCCAACCATTCTTCTGATAAAGCCAAAACTCAAACGAAGAAAATAGGGCGGTCTGTTTTAATTCTTTATAGAAATCAGAGAGCAGAAGACAGAGAATATTGCAAAACAAGGTTTACAAAGAAAGAAATATTGCTATGGTTGGAGCAGTGCTCCTTTCAAAATGGCAGTGAATATGAAAAATCACTGGGAGAAGGACCAACTCCTACTCTCAGTGACTTTCCAATGATCCTCAATAACTCACAGCCCCCCTCTCAACATTCTATTCCCCCTTAATATATTCCTCTGATTCTCACATCCAACCCCTCCACTCGCTTTCTGCCACCTGTCCCCATGCTGTTATTCTCCCTCCCATTCCATCATTCCCACAATGTGTGCCCCTCTCCCACTCACTTCCTCTTGTGTCACATTTTGTTCCTCCTCTAATACACTATTGGGCGCTTTTCAGCAAGCCCATTTTCCTCCGTTTGTATACATGCTTAATTAAGGGCTTTTCATCTCCCCTACACATATTTAGGCAAATATGATAGTTTAAATCTCAAGCTAAATAATGCAAAATTATAATTCATGTAAAAGATGGTAATATCTTCTTTATTATACCAAACCAAGCTCTGCATGCATTGTCGAGACACAAAAATGAATAAATCAAAGTGATATCATTTTATGCAAATAAAAACTTTGGCTCAAAGAAACCCACACCTTAACATGATAGCTAACATAGGCATGAAAAGTTGACAGATTCCATACTGTACGATCCAGTTTCTGACCTTCAACATGACGAGGGAAGATAACTGCAGAGTTTAACATATTACATTACAGTCATGTTAGCAAAATCAAAATAAATTATATATTGAGACGCTTTTCCTGACACTAACCAAATGTCACAAATCCTGCATTCGCAGATAATGCATTGGCGGCAACTCCTTTTAGTTCCAGTGGAGGAGTAAGAGACCACGAACAAGGAGGCGTATTATGAAGTCCAGCTGTACGCCTGGCTTCGACAAATTCCTAAATTACAATAAAGCTTGAAAAATTGAAACCATCAAACCACCCAAAAAAGTAGTAAACCACACAAGAACAGTTTGCAAAATGCAACAAAAATGGTGCTTATCTCTCTCCCTACCCTCTTTTCACCCCAATGACCCTTAGATATGTATTCCTAGGAAACCATACCTGTAAGAATGAAGTTGCGAGAACAATGTCGATTGAATCATGGAATCTCATAGGATACACCACAGTCACCTTATCAGCCTGTCAAAAAACATGTTTCATCATATAATCCTAATAGATGCTTCCCACTAAAATAACTAAATGGACCAATTAACAAAAACATCAATCCTGTCAAGACAGTGACAAATCCATAGTGCTGAGACAGTATACTCTTTGAAAAAAAGAAACAAACGAAACCAAAATAAATTAGATTTTTCCAGTTTCAAATTAAAAGAATTATTTATTTTATTATTTATTCCTTTTCTTTGTTCCGAACTCAAAACTAAAAGAAACTGTTGTTGCAGGTTTGCATGCCACACAAAAAAAACACTATTTCCAATATCTGAACTATATGCTCAGTTGATTAAGGAGGTTTCTATGGCACAGCAACTCACATGGAATAAGATTAGGCATTTCATTCTATTCAATGTAAAAGGAATTTTAATAGCCCTTCCTAATAGACATGTTAAGGATTTGACATCTGTGTGAGGAGACCCCATTTAAAAAAGGGCAAATCTCTATTAGTTGGTTATTTGGAATAGTTAAATAGTAACTTAAAAAGGGAAAGAGGACAGGATAT